CTCAAACAAATATGATCGAATCTTATAGCAATGAATAAGCAAAATTTAGTACTCAAGACTCGTTTGGCCTATGTACAAAATCAGTGTACAGTTCTTAATAAAGAATTCAACAAGATAACTTGAATTAGAATATTAATAACTATAAAGTGATGATATCTTCAGCATAAATCCTAAATAATAAGATTATGCATAATAATAATAATAATAATAATAATAATAATAATAATAATAATAATAATAATAATAATAATAATAATAATAATAATAATAAATTAAAATTATTTTATGCACTACGCAATAAAATATATTACAATCTAGAAGTGAATCTATCTAATTTATTCACGTATTCGATATGCAACTTTGAACATAGGAGCGACTAAGAACTATCATCCTCTTTAGCAATGAATACATGATTATTCTCAATGAATGAATAAATTAATCATATAGCAATTTGAAATTTGTAAATCGAAGTACAGAGTAGAAGATGAAATATTTGATGTCATCAGTTATGTTTAAAATACAAATAACCTTTTCTGACTGTTTTTATAGTAATACCAAACAAACTCTAAGGAAACATAATAGCAATGTAACCATATGGTAAGGTGATAACCAAACTTCAAGCAATTAGGTTTATTTATTCAATTTATCCTACTTGAAATTCATTCTGGAAGACAATGAGTAAATAGTTTGCGTAAATCACGGAAGCTCAAATATTATTATTTAATGGTCTAACTTAGAAAACCATGTATGGAACTACTCATTATTCGGGATACACGACCCCACAAGAGATTAAAGCCAAGACTTTTAGGCCTTATTGAGATTTCTCAGCCTCCACACGAATCAGCTGGTATCTAATGATTTTAATTTCCAATCAGCAGAAGATGGAAATATCAACCATTCGTTTACAACCGAGTGGTGTGGTGATTAGGCGTTTCATATGAGGCTTCAAGTTCCCGGCTTTAATCTTTGGTGGAATTGTGTATCTCGAAAGCTGAGTAAGCCTATGCTAGAATGGAGCAACTATCTAGTGTTTCTTGGTTTGCAATAGTTGTCTAATAAAGGTTATTTCATGATGTTTTAATTACACATAATAATAAGATTAATCAACAACTGATTATCTTCAAATATTCATTACTATATTTATACTTATTTTTTCTATAAACCTAGAGGAGCATAGACCACAATCATACAATGGTTTATCAGCAATCACATCAAAATTGGCTATTTTTAATTTAAAAGTAGGAGACTTTGGTGATTATGTTTGTTCAGTTAGCACAATTATGGGTGAATCATTTGGAGTGACGACTTTACAAAGTATGTTACTCATATCATTCTTTATAAATTTATTTAAATTTCATTACATCGTTCTCTCTAGTTTAAATGTAACATAAACTTTTCTCAACTAGATAGTTCTGATAATTTGAACTGTCTATAGGGCGTTGATGTCCTTTTTTGAAGAAAAAATCATATTCCAGTAAAGACAATACGTGTTGAAAACACAAACAAGGAAGCTACAACCTGTATTTATGAACTAAGTTTTTAAAAAGCGTGATACAGATTTGTGAAGGTAATCAGTAAGAAATCTTGAACCGCGCCTTAGCTCAGGATGAAACCAATCAACAAGATGTATTCGCATTACTGGAAGAGCACATTCGTTCTCGAAAATTTAAACTTTTATCAATCTGTGCCAAATACGATTGATAGAGCTTGATCAACACTAACTACTAGACAACAAGATATCGATTATTATTTAACGACAGTTGTACATTATCATCTAATCACTAAAACAAGTAGTTGAAGTATGGATAGAGCAGTCATAACGCAGATGATTGAGATAACGGGTGAAGAGAGTTTAAATCACTGGGTTCTATTAACTCATTAAAGATTATTTCATCGTTTAATAAATAAATAATCTCTAGTCTTTTAAAATGCGCCGATGCTATTAGTAAATTGTTGGCACTTGTTTTGTATCCTAGAAGAAGCGTTCATCCGTCTCTGTTTTTCAAATTAAATTAACTCTTATTTTATGATATCGTTCTTGAAATCCCTTTAATTTAATTATATCATTATGAAAATTTTCCGTTTAAGATCTTATTTTGAAGTGAACGAACTAAATTCATATTATCAATATGAAACTGTGGAGATAATTAGGTGTTTGATTGAGATCATGAACCAATTGATGTTAGACCACCATTAAAAACCTGGAAGCACTGAATGGCCGTTTCATCCTATTGTGGGACTCCTCAGCCGTCCAATGCTTCCAGGTTTTCAATGGTGGTCTAACATCAGTCGGTTCATGACCTTAATCAAAGACTTAATTTATGTTATTCTTAGTTCTTGCTAACTTTGTGTAATCGCTTGATTTCAACTATATGATCATTAGTAACCACTCTGATCGGTGTTCTAGAGCCTTCTTTTACTGGAATTGGCTTCTCTGAGATTAAGTGGTCTAATCACTAAAATTCCACAACCTTTCTGTACAACATCAACATTAAACTTCAGATAGAAGTTTGGGAATTTCTCTCCAAGTGACTAGGAGCTTGTTCTGTCAGTTATGAAACTGACTGAATGTTATTTGTACTTATCTTGTCACAATCTGAATAGTTATCTTAATTATCTTCACCTTGACTAGATTCTCGATCTTGTAGTTGTTTATGATTTTTTCTAATATGTTGATAAATTGAGTTTATTTTAATTTTTTTAATGACTGATGACTATTGTAAGTGCCTGGCTTCATGAAATTAACTGGCCTCATTTGCGTTATCGCCGTGCAAGATTTTGGCGTTTTTGCAGTCAAACGTGTGTCTGTAACTGTCAATGTGTATTGAGATAAGCGAAGATATTTCGTGACGTTTGACAGCTAGTTGGTGTTCATATAGACGAAGACTAGACGGAAGGAAATCTTGTCCTATTTAACGTTTTTCACAGTCAGATCGGTTTATTTTGTGAATGATGTTTGGTTTGTCTTTGTCCTTTTTCTGCATAAAAAGCCGACTGAAATGATTTCCTGACTTATGAGTGACGCCTACTGCTAATAGCTCTAATAATGTGGCTGTAATTTTCGATAAGTCCCTTCTATATGATAGGATAATCTGTTTCATGATTTCTTAATTTGATACTTTGTTAGATGATGAGTTTGATAAGTGATTTTCAATGAACTTGCATGGATAGCAGATTCTCAAGACTCCGAATAAAATCCTGAGTATGTTTTATCGAACATCATCTGCAGGGAATTATAAGACTTCCTGTTATGAATTCCACAGTCTTTTATTTAACATTTTTGCCTCTCACACATTTATCATTATCTTAACAATTCTGGAATCTGAAAAGAACTTTAGGTCATTTATAGATCTATGAATACGATGTAACTTCGAAAAAAAATATATTTCCAGTTTACTTCGTAAACTTCTTTGTTGTGTTACTTGAGACATCAACCCTTGAACCTGTTTTTTTTAATTTACAGGGTTTAAAACTGAACGTTTTGATACTGATTTGGCACAAATAAGTAAGTTTTTACGCTGTCATCATCTAACATGAGTCCTTATGTTAGAGTGTGTCGTGAGATATTTACATTAAAGATCCCCACGACTCAAACAATACTAGTCCACCGATTCATTTAGCGTGTTTCTGTCTAAGGACGAAACGAATTCTCATCTGATACTTGACATACCGCGAAAATCATAACTATTAATCTAAGGAGATGTCATTCAATTGATAAACATGTGGCATGATTGGCTTTACAAGCCTTTCATCACAAATCTAGAAGTGTGAAGTCCAGGCATTGTAACATTCTTCAAAGTTCTCAGGGAACTGCTTTCTGTGAGATCTCATAGTATTATTTTTATAACATACTTATTTTTCATGGACCAGACAGATCATACATTCACATTAGTGGTTTTAAAGAATTCATTGATTTCATAAATTTTCAATACGAGGAAATTATAATGCTCCGAAACTTTTACATTCGTGTTACATATACATAATCACCGCCTACGCAGACGTGTAATGTCAGCTGATATAGTAGTTTAAAAAAGATCAGCAGTAAGTTAATCAGGCATAGATTTCCTAGTTAGGGTTCATCCAATACTCGTAATCAACGGTTTGAGATGTCGGATGATGTAGAATAAAAAAAGGTCGCAGTGGTCTATTCTCATTCAGTTTCGTTCTAAATCCATTCTTCCATTGCATTTCTTCCTTAAAACAGTACTTTTCACGCGCAGACCTCCATTGCCTTCAATATTATTTCCCACACCATAGTTTGCATGGATGTTGAAGATAAATGAAACTTGGATTCAGTCATTAGTATAACCAAATCCTGTAATCGGTCACAGGTTAGAATGATTGAAAAAACTCACCGAACTAGCTAGGAATAACCTAATAACTTGGTCTGATAATTTTTATTTTGTACATTCGACGACACCATCCTGTATTTCAACTTGAAATTGCTGTTAAACATACCACTCATTGGAAATAGTCTTAATATAGATTTGTGGAGGTCGTAGAATTTCCACAATTTAAGTCACAAAGTGATCCTGGTCAGATCACTGTTGAAAACCTGGAAGACCAATATCGTGGACTGATTGAAGTTAAACATTAACATAGATTCGGCTCAGCGGTCTAGAGGCTAAGTGTTTGAGAGTAAGGATAAAGGTTCCGGGTTCAATTCTCGCGTGAGCGCTGATGAGTCACACAATGGAGCAGGACGACTGTCAAGGACTTACATGCTTTCAGTAGCTCAGCTAAGACCAATTTGTGATCCCAACTTGGGGAATTAATCATGTTAACTGTTATAAACGTATTTATGCCGTCGCCAATTGTTATAAACGTAGAGAGAGAGAGGATGCTGGTTATAACCTTAGGGGTTTCTGGTTATAACAGTCCTTTTACTTCTTACACGTATGTGGGACGTTAATTTATCTTAGACGAATATCTACACTAGATTCCCACCCAGTGTCTATTCTACAGGACTTCAACAGAACTCAGATCAAGAACACAATATTAGCCTGACTATAACGTCAATATATTTCACACCAAAATCCGACACATGGAACAGTCAAGAAGTCCATACATAATAAGGATAGGGAAATATATATATAACACATAACACCTGTCATCCCCTCTAATGTCTGACTCATCGAGACAACCAATCATTGACATTCTCGCCCACACATCACCTCCCTCGCGAAGTTTGATCGTATGATTTCATTTTAGGGTCTATTTGAAAAAATTTCGTTTGTTTCCGTTTCCTGAATGACCTTCGTCTAACTTCTGATTCTAGATCATTTTTTCTCGTTTCAACTTGTGGTGGTGGTGGTGGAATATCAAACGTATCACATAACACTTCCATTGGTAATGGTTTGAGTTTAGATGACTCATAAACACATTTTCTATCTCGCAGTTGATTTACATGTCTAATAATTAGTGTATTTTCGACCATCACTTCATATAATACTGTACCACGTCGTTTTTTTATAAACCCAAATATCCATTTTGGCTTGCCAGGCCGGAAATCCCGTGCATAGACTGAGTCACCTACTTTGAATTCTCGAATTTTCAGGCAATTCCCTTTGTTATTTTTTTGTAGTCCACTGATTCTGTCTTTCGGGTTCAAAACATCAAAAAATGTTCTAATCGGTCGGCCAAACATTATTTCGGCTGGAGATTTCCCATCTTGACAGTTTGGACTTGGCGTAATTCTATAAGAAATGAGAAATTGTTGCAGAGCCTCTTCTACGTTGCCTTCTCCTCCCATCTTTAAGAGAGCTCGTTTAAGAATATCAACGAATTTCTCTGCCTGCCCGTTCGACTTAGGGTGATACGGTGGAGTTCTAACGTGTTCGATTCCATTCTGTTTACAGAACTCCGCAAACTCTAACGACGTGAACTGCGTCCCGTTATCTGAAACCAAAACATTAGGTGTACCAAACCTACCAAATAATTGTCTCAGATGTAGCAGTGTTTCAGACGTAGATGGTCTTCGTACCACATAAATTTCAGGCCACTTTGAGTATGAATCAACCACCACCAAAAAATATTGTCCACTTATTGGTCCAGCATAATCAACATGTAGTCGGATCCAAGGTTTTTTCGTTTCTGGCCATGACTGGGATTCTGCTTTCGGCACATTCAACGGTAAATCCCACAACCCAAATTTATCAATCCAATCAATACCTAATAGATTGGTATGACAGTTCCCGGATACGTAACATTTCCCGGTCATAGTCTTTTCACCAAACGTGAGAGGTAGCTGTATTACTCCAAGAAGAGTAATATTAGTTCCTGACGCACTCTTAGCATTATGACATGTAGGTTGATATCGGGGTCGACCAATTTTAATCCAAGTTTCTCTAGAAATTAATGTTATATCAGACCCAGTATCGACTTGTAGTTTGACCGGTTTGCCATCGAAAAAAATGGTTACATACTTCCTTTTAGAGGAGAAATGCTCACTTTTTGTAGCCAGAACAACATTTGAGTTATGCGGCATTGATTTTGAAGTCTGCATCTTATTTCGTTTACGGAACTTATGCTCACGGTCAGAAACCTTTGGTTTACTTTTACAACATACTTGAGCATGACCATATTTACCACATTGAAAGCATACTCGTTTTTTAAAATAGCAAACATTGGCAGAATGACACTTACCACATCGCCAACATGACGTTTTGTGTTTCACTTGATTCCGGATTTTCTGGGAGTTCGAATCTTTATTTCCTTTAAAAGATTTACGTAAAGCATTAACTCCAACGTGTTCACTGTTCCTTTCTACGAGTTTCGTGTCATGCTTCAAATTAATCATTCTTTGACACTCTTCAGATACTGATTGTAGACTGATATTAGGATCTTGTTCGATTCTCATTAGAATCCGTGCTCTAATATCTGCATCTACTGAAGATTGTAATCCACATACAAAAATAAGGCACTTGAATTGATCTGAGGACATTTCCTGTAATCGGAACCGCTCACATTCCCGGTTCACGATACTTGCATACGTTACGTAATCGTCCTGTACTTTCTTTACAAGTTGAAGACACTGGTATCTAGTGTGAAAAATTGATGACCGTTCACCAAATATACGAGTCAGGCATTCAACTGTTTCTTTGAACGTTATGTCGGATGACTTCTTTGGGAGGATAAAATTACAGAATTTTTCATGTTCGGACACTCCGAGCTTTCGTAATAATAATCTCAATCTCGAACTTTCGTCCCACTCTTTACATTCATTAATAAATAAATCCTCATGGCGTTTAAACCACGCCTCAAAAGTAACTCCACTTTCTGGATCAAATCTAAATTCAGTTATTGAATTTGCAATAGAATCCGGAGTCATAGTGGAATTAGACACATCAGTTCTTGAGGATATCGACATATTTTTGACTAATAGTTCGATAAGAGTATTTTGCTGTTGCAATAAGGTTTTCAGATCATCCATTTTCTTGATACAAAATTCACTTTAACTGAATACGTAAGCGTAGATCCGTTTTAATCACCGTCGCCAATGTTATAAACGTATGTATGCCGTCGCCAATTGTTATAAACGTAGAGAGAGAGAGGATGCTGGTTATAACCTTAGGGGTTTCTGGTTATAACAGTCCTTTTACTTCTTACACGTATGTGGGACGTTAATTTATCTTAGACGAATATCTACACTAGATTCCCACCCAGTGTCTATTCTACAGGACTTCAACAGAACTCAGATCAAGAACACAATATTAGCCTGACTATAACGTCAATATATTTCACACCAAAATCCGACACATGGAACAGTCAAGAAGTCCATACATAATAAGGATAGGGAAATATATATATAACACATAACACCTGTCATCCCCTCTAATGTCTGACTCATCGAGACAACCAATCATTGACATTCTCGCCCACACATCACCTCCCTCGCGAAGTTTGATCGTATGATTTCATTTTAGGGTCTATTTGAAAAAATTTCGTTTGTTTCCGTTTCCTGAATGACCTTCGTCTAACTTCTGATTCTAGATCATTTTTTCTCGTTTCAACTTGTGGTGGTGGTGGTGGAATATCAAACGTATCACATAACACTTCCATTGGTAATGGTTTGAGTTTAGATGACTCATAAACACATTTTCTATCTCGCAGTTGATTTACATGTCTAATAATTAGTGTATTTTCGACCATCACTTCATATAATACTGTACCACGTCGTTTTTTTATAAACCCAAATATCCATTTTGGCTTGCCAGGCCGGAAATCCCGTGCATAGACTGAGTCACCTACTTTGAATTCTCGAATTTTCAGGCAATTCCCTTTGTTATTTTTTTGTAGTCCACTGATTCTGTCTTTCGGGTTCAAAACATCAAAAAATGTTCTAATCGGTCGGCCAAACATTATTTCGGCTGGAGATTTCCCATCTTGACAGTTTGGACTTGGCGTAATTCTATAAGAAATGAGAAATTGTTGCAGAGCCTCTTCTACGTTGCCTTCTCCTCCCATCTTTAAGAGAGCTCGTTTAAGAATATCAACGAATTTCTCTGCCTGCCCGTTCGACTTAGGGTGATACGGTGGAGTTCTAACGTGTTCGATTCCATTCTGTTTACAGAACTCCGCAAACTCTAACGACGTGAACTGCGTCCCGTTATCTGAAACCAAAACATTAGGTGTACCAAACCTACCAAATAATTGTCTCAGATGTAGCAGTGTTTCAGACGTAGATGGTCTTCGTACCACATAAATTTCAGGCCACTTTGAGTATGAATCAACCACCACCAAAAAATATTGTCCACTTATTGGTCCAGCATAATCAACATGTAGTCGGATCCAAGGTTTTTTCGTTTCTGGCCATGACTGGGATTCTGCTTTCGGCACATTCAACGGTAAATCCCACAACCCAAATTTATCAATCCAATCAATACCTAATAGATTGGTATGACAGTTCCCGGATACGTAACATTTCCCGGTCATAGTCTTTTCACCAAACGTGAGAGGTAGCTGTATTACTCCAAGAAGAGTAATATTAGTTCCTGACGCACTCTTAGCATTATGACATGTAGGTTGATATCGGGGTCGACCAATTTTAATCCAAGTTTCTCTAGAAATTAATGTTATATCAGACCCAGTATCGACTTGTAGTTTGACCGGTTTGCCATCGAAAAAAATGGTTACATACTTCCTTTTAGAGGAGAAATGCTCACTTTTTGTAGCCAGAACAACATTTGAGTTATGCGGCATTGATTTTGAAGTCTGCATCTTATTTCGTTTACGGAACTTATGCTCACGGTCAGAAACCTTTGGTTTACTTTTACAACATACTTGAGCATGACCATATTTACCACATTGAAAGCATACTCGTTTTTTAAAATAGCAAACATTGGCAGAATGACACTTACCACATCGCCAACATGACGTTTTGTGTTTCACTTGATTCCGGATTTTCTGGGAGTTCGAATCTTTATTTCCTTTAAAAGATTTACGTAAAGCATTAACTCCAACGTGTTCACTGTTCCTTTCTACGAGTTTCGTGTCATGCTTCAAATTAATCATTCTTTGACACTCTTCAGATACTGATTGTAGACTGATATTAGGATCTTGTTCGATTCTCAATAGAATCCGTGCTCTAATATCTGCATCTACTGAAGATTGTAATCCACATACAAAAATAAGGCACTTGAATTGATCTGAGGACATTTCCTGTAATCGGAACCGCTCACATTCCCGGTTCACGATACTTGCATACGTTACGTAATCGTCCTGTACTTTCTTTACAAGTTGAAGACACTGGTATCTAGTGTGAAAAATTGATGACCGTTCACCAAATATACGAGTCAGGCATTCAACTGTTTCTTTGAACGTTATGTCGGATGACTTCTTTGGGAGGATAAAATTACAGAATTTTTCATGTTCGGACACTCCGAGCTTTCGTAATAATAATCTCAATCTCGAACTTTCGTCCCACTCTTTACATTCATTAATAAATAAATCCTCATGGCGTTTAAACCACGCCTCAAAAGTAACTCCACTTTCTGGATCAAATCTAAATTCAGTTATTGAATTTGCAATAGAATCCGGAGTCATAGTGGAATTAGACACATCAGTTCTTGAGGATATCGACATATTTTTGACTAATAGTTCGATAAGAGTATTTTGCTGTTGCAATAAGGTTTTCAGATCATCCATTTTCTTGATACAAAATTCACTTTAACTGAATACGTAAGCGTAGATCCGTTTTAATCACCGTCGCCAATGTTATAAACGTATGTATGCCGTCGCCAATTGTTATAAACGTAGAGAGAGAGAGGATGCTGGTTATAACCTTAGGGGTTTCTGGTTATAACAGTCCTTTTACTTCTTACACGTATGTGGGACGTTAATTTATCTTAGACGAATATCTACACTAGATTCCCACCCAGTGTCTATTCTACAGGACTTCAACAGAACTCAGATCAAGAACACAATATTAGCCTGACTATAACGTCAATATATTTCACACCAAAATCCGACACATGGAACAGTCAAGAAGTCCATACATAATAAGGATAGGGAAATATATATATAACACATAACACCTGTCATCCCCTCTAATGTCTGACTCATCGAGACAACCAATCATTGACATTCTCGCCCACACATCATTAACTAACTAGCTATAAATCTTATGTCTTGTGTGAGATACATAGGATTCGGGAATCTTACAGTGGGTTGGAATGAATGTCCAATATTACCTGTTTTTTTCAAGTAACCATTTCAATAATATTTACCATCAACGAAAACCCCATGTAGTGAAATAACCGCCAACAATCCAGGTTTAGTAGTCAACAATGATTGGTAAGTGTTGTGGTAATAGTAATAAAATTTACTCATTTAGCAAATGCATATCTGTGTACTTAGATCTAAGCCCCACTGTTTGTATAAGGACTAGTGAGAATTAGTAGTTTCTGAAACCCAAATAGGTCGAACGAGGCTTGGACCCATGAGAGGTCATGACAGTTGATCGCTTTACTCATTAAGCAATAGAACCACAACTATATATAGTTTATTGTGAAGCGTCCTTTGAAATTTACCCTTATCCAAAAACTCGGAAAAAATGAAGTCATCATACTTAAATTATTGAGTCATAAGGTCACGATAATAAATACGTATTCAAGTTTTCGGTTGACAAATAAACCAATCCCTTTCTTTGATATCTCTCCAAAATTTACTGTTCTATATATATTCTTTGCAGTGCATCAAAAACAGATTGAAAGATTATCGGATAAACAGGTTACTCGTGACAGGATATCCAACTCTCATGATAATTATTATAATAAATACTTAAAACGGATTAGATTGTCAGAAGATAAAGTTTATCAAAGACCAATAGGTAAGTTTGTGAACATTACTCCATTTATAAATTTCCAATCATATTCTTTTTGACGCTGTTATATTCTGTGTGATGGATGCTGTGATTGTATAGCTTCCACTGTCACTAAAAACAATGATATCCAGAGCGACAGTAGGAGCTTCTCAATTAAACTATTTAGCTTAAAGAGCTTAAAATCAGCAAAAACATTCACGAAGGCGACAAATCTCATGTGTCACTTCAAAATAAGATATTGCTCTTTTCTCGTTTTTCTTATCAATTCAATTTAAATTATTTTAGTATTATAAAATGTTTTGAATCTTCAGAAGGTTTTTTTTAGTTTAAAATCCATTCAAAGTTACTCTAGCTAACCAATCAAATTTAAGAGGCGATAAAGTAAATGCATCGACTCACTTCAAACTAAGATCGTTTGACTTCTGCAATTAAATACTTCTCTGAAGATTCATACAGTGAATTCAGAAATTCGTTAGTTCCATGTTTGGTCGAGATCAATAAACAGTGTCATTATCAGATTGACGTTATTTATTTGAGTATTCATTGACTGAGTGGAAATCAGTAACATGGATTGTCCAGCCAGTCATATGCAACGTAAAGCCTGGTACATTTGTGCATCGGTTCGCACAGCTACACTTCATTAGCACAGCGAGATAAAGTTATCAAGACAGATCCCAGAGTATTAGAATTAATAACAGCATCAATAGTAGTAGAGAAGATGAAAAGCAGTCTCCTATGCTAATTCAACTGCATTGATCGAATTGCAACGTCCACACTAATCTAATTAAACGTCCTGTGTACTGTTTTATTGGTATTTAATGCATGCACTAATAACCGAAGCGAGATTTGGACGATACAATTCCACTAACATGGGATTACCCAAAAATGACACCAACTGAATACTAATGGCCAATCACTATAAATAAATTAGTCCTATAGGAAGTCATCAACAGCCCAAATATCATACCAGAGTTATTTCAGTGAAGATCTGCAAAACGCAGCTCCGCCTGTAACTCTTCTATGTTACTGGTGGTCCCAAGCACAGGTAAACAAAGAAGGTTGAGCATAGAGTCAGCAAACTCATCAGGTAGGAAACACCATTGTTAAAAGAACCCCAACCAGATTAAACCATTTAAATTCCGACCTCAGAGTTGAAGGTTCATTATTCAGAAAAATTGTGAAGTCTCATTGTGGAATACGGGACTCTTCCGAAATCACTAGGCTGATGCCACTTCTAACAACCAGAGCAATAATTTTTATTGGTAAATGAAATGTAGGATACTATGAGAGACCGAAAGGACCAGTCAAACAGCAACGGAAATGAGGAAATACAACTTGACGATGCTCGGAATCATTGAAACCCATTAGATCCAAACTGGACAGAACAGGTTAGAATCAGGAGAGGTGCTGCTGTACTCTGGTCGCAAAGAGGAAAATGCTCCACACAGAGAGTTGCTTTGATGCTATCCAAAGGAGCACGTAAAGCACTTGTAGTACGGGAATCTCATGGATTCAGGATCATCAAAGCATCATTCAAAACGAAGGAGGAGGGAATCACAATGAATGCTATCCGATGTTGTGCGCCCACCAATCATAGCAACGACGACGAGAAAGACCAGTTCTACAAGAGACTGCAATCGATCATAGTGAAATGCTTAGGTAAGAACCTGACAATCCTTATGGGAAATCTAGATGCAAAAGTCGGACTGGACAACACCGGGTATGAAGATAGCATGGAACGACATGGATTGACTAGGAGAAATGAACGGGAATGGCGAAAGGCTTGGAAGTTTATGTGTAGTCAACAAAATTGTTTTAGGTTGCACAGTATTCCCTGCCCCCATAAAGCTACATGGGTCTCACCGGATCACACTACAATGAACTAGATCGATCATATTTACATCAATAAAAACTTCACAAGGTCAGTGGGAGATGTGAGAACCAGGAGAGGTTCTGATATAGCTTCAGCTCATCACCTGTTAGTTGCTAAGATGAAACTGAAGTAAAAGAAGCATTGGACAAATGGAGAAACAACATTACTAATGTTCAGTACAGTCTTTCATCGAGATACTGACTGACTTACTTACTTACTTACTTTCGCCTGTTACTCCCAATGGAGCATAGGCCGCCGACCAGCATTCTCCAACCCACTGACAAACTCAACCAATTCAAGATAGCTTTCAACAACAGGTCCCAAGCTTTACAAGATCTACTCAAGGATGAGGAATCTACTGTGGTGGGTAATTGGAAGCGGATCAAAGAAGCACTAACTTCAATGTGTCAAGAGGTTCTGGACCGCGAGAAGCATCACCATAAAGAATAGATCTCTATAGAAACCCTGGACAATATTCAGGAAAGGAAGAACAAGAAGATAGCACTCAACAACAGTCGAACAAGAACAATGATAGTCGAAATGTAAGCTGAATACACAAAAGCAAACAAGCAATTGAAGAGGAGCGTTAAAGCTGACAAGCGAAAATATGAGGAAGACCTAGCAACGATAGCGGAAAAACTTCAACAGAAGGATATATGATACAGCTATATGACACAACGAAGAAACTAGCAGAGAAACAGCAAACCGAAAAGACCGGTCAACGACAAAGAGGGCAAGACACTCACTGAGATTCAAGAACAGAGGAACAGATGGGCAGAACACTTTGAAAAACTCTTGAATAGGCCGGCTCCATTGAATCCACGGGACATCGAAGCAGCACCTGCAGACCTTCCTATAGCTGTCACTCTGCCAACGATCGAAGAAATCAGGGTGGCCAGTCGTCAGACAAATCAAGAGTATGAAAGCAGCAGGACCTGACAACATACCCGTTGAGGCAAAGGGATAACTGCCAAGATGCTCCATGTCCTAATCAGGATTTAGGAGGAAGGACAAGTGGTGACAGACTGAAAAGAAGGATATATCACCAAGAAAGGAGGTCTGAGCAAATATGGAAACTACAGAGCTATCACACTACTGTCAGTACTAGTAAAAGTTTTCAACAGAGTGTTGCTGAATCGGATGAAAGACTCAGTAAATGCCCAACTTCGAGATCAACAGACCGGATTTCGTAAGGATCGGTCGTGCACAGAACAAATCGCGACACTACGGATCATTGTTGAGCAATCAATTGAATGCAACTCGTCACCCTACATCAACTTGAATATGAGAAGGCGTTTAACAGTGTGGATAGGAGAACATTATGGATTTTTTTTCGACACTATGGTGTACCTAAGAAAGTCGTCAACGTCATCCAAAATTCATACGACGGACTACAGTGCAAAGTGGTGCATGGAGGATAGCTGATAGAAGCATTCCATGTGAGGATCAGTGTCAGACAAGGCTACCTACTTTCCCCCTTTCTCCTCTAGTGATTGACTGGATTGTGGAGACTTCGACATCTGAGGTGAAACACGGAATACCATGGACAGCTCGGAATCAGTCAGAAGATTTGGACTTCGCAGATAACCTGACCCTTCTATCCCATACACATCAACAAATGTAGGTCAATTCAACCAATGTAGCAGTAGCAGCCCCTGCATCCGTAGGCCTCAACACGCACAAGGGGAAAAGCGAGATTCTCAAATACAACGCAGTGAACATCAACCAAACCAATCACACTTGATGGAGAAACTCTGGAAGAGGTGGAAACTTTCACGTGCCTGACTGGTCAGCATCATTGAAAAACTAGGAGAATCTGATGGAGATGTGAAGTCATGGATTGACTAAGCAAAAGCAACATTCCTGCATTTGAAGAACATATGGAATTCAAAACAACTGTCAACCAATATCAAAGTAAGAATCTTCAACACGAACGTCGAAACAGTTCTACTGTGCGGAGCTGAGACTTGGAGAACTACCACAACCATTATCAAAATGATACAAGTATTTATAGACTGTCGTCTACGCAAGATACTCAATGTCCGTTGGCTGGATAGCATCAGCAACATCCTAATGTGGAAGAGAAGAGAGCAGCTTCCAGTGGAGGAGGTAATTAGGAAAAGAGGCTAGGGGCGGAAATCATAAAACTGTATCAGTAGGCAAGCCCTAACTTGGAGTCTTAATGGGGAAGGGAAAAGAGGAAGGCCAAAGAACACATCGCGTCGGGATGCGGAAGCAGACATGAAAAGGTTTAATAGGAACTAGAAAGGACTGCCCAGGACAGAGTTGGATGGAGAATGCTGATGAGCGGCCTGTGCTACTCCACGAGAGTTAACAGGCGTCAGTAAGCAAATAATAGGCAACGCTGATTTGAACCCTACAACGAGAACCAGTTCGCCCGAAATCCCGGATAAGTCTCGCAGATGAATTCAAATTAATATGAAACCTAGGTCTAAAGTTTCCTGCTAATGGAAGTTAACCACCTAACACTAAAACATGCTTTAGTCTGACCATATATCATTGTCATCCACACTATATGCACTGAGAAATAACTCCTATCTTATGACAAGTAGATGTCATATCTATGGTATTGTGTGAGGGCTATGATACTGAACGGGTGCCCAGACCGAAACAGGTGGTTTTCTTAGGTGGCCACACCCGGAGCCTTTGACCTAAAGGTCTGATCCATAAGGCAGTGGAGCATCGTGAGAAGGTGCAGTCCTATGGTAGCTGTCGACCAACAATTGGTTCATACGCCATTTGTTCCCTCAGGACCCTGGAGCCCATGTGCACCATTGGCTCGGAATCAGCGTTTTCCAACTCCCCTAGGCAAACCCTCTGTGTCCATCAACTCGGTAAAAGCGCCGGACATTCGCTATCCGTCTTTTCAATTTCGTAAACAACACCCCCGCTACGAGAAGGCAGTGAGTAGGACTTCCATGGCAGAGGCTGTATACGCGTAGCTGTGTGAGAACATTTCGAGAGGGAGGGCCTACCCACTCTCGGCCGTACCAGGGCTAGTGATCTTTTTTTATATCTAACATAAATTTCTGTCCAAGTTTACTTGAAACACTTAGTCTTTTTACCGGACCTTTTGTTTAGATACTCAAAATACTGTTGCAAATGCCACATTTACTGTTCAGCTGTATATAAAACTGCTAATGGTGTTCAACATGCTGACTGTTATTTCACACTTTTTATATTTTTAAAAAGATATCTATGGAGTGAAGTTATATAATCTAATAAATGGTTGTATTTTGGCTCATGCATGTTTGTAAATATTGAGAAAATAGATAATAAAGCATTCTTGACTTTTTTTAATAAATCCCTAAAGTGCAGTCAATTTTTCAAAAAAAGAACACTTCGATTAAAAAAGATTAGTAAATAGTGGCTTTAAATATATTTATGAAAGGATAAGATCGCATTAACACTAGAAACTTCAGCGTACGTGACTTAATCTCATATTCTTTTCCATTAGAACAGTTTTATTTAACATGCCAAATAAACAACACGACACGAAATCATATTTTACTACAAACTACAGTACTATCATCTTTAATATAATGGTGATGCTTTGTCACTTGGACTACGAGTTACAACTATTTTATATCGACTTACTGATTACAACGAGCGGGATTTAAACATTTGATTCACATCTGAACAACTGAGTAGTATATTACTAGCGCTCATATTACAAGTATGCGCTTAGACTGAACAGTGCTTGGTTAACGGATTTCTTCTAAATTGCTAATTAAGTGTCTGATTTTCACCAGATGGGATGAAGTTATAATCTATTACCAGATGACTGAAATCAGACCTTTTTAAATAATGAAACGCGGTTCCGACTTTAAAATTAACAAACGAGGAAATCCGGTTTACGCGAGTAGGAAACAAGTCTTTTCCGAGAATACGATAAAGCAGAAATTCTAACTTCTATTGATTGGGATGTCACAAATACATGATTATTTTACGATTAACATTTTACATGATACTCAATTTATTTGAAAAGATAGAGAACATCATTTGAAAAGGAAAGAATCCGATGGATAAAAAGGATAAGATAATGTAAATGTATTTGCGCCATTGCGACCAATTTTGAACAATGTCACACAACGTCATCAACTATTCATTACACTGATCACACACACATAAACCAAGTAGTGTAAGTGTTATAGTGAATGAAGATATCTTTCGTCATGTGGCAACGCAATCGTTAATGTATTTGTAGAAAAAATACAAATATAAGTACTAAAAGTCATATTTACGAACGAAAAATTATGTTTTGACAACATATAATCAATAGGAAAAGGAGAAAATAACAAGATGAACCCAGAGAATATCCAATAGGACAATGTTATAATCGGATGCACGCTAAGATAGCAGAAATAACTAAAGATGATCCTAAAGCAATAAATCCAGTTGTATTACATGTTTTGATAGGAAAGCCAATAGCGTAGTCCCAAGCCTAGTAAAATAAATAAATTACACAGTCACACATTTTCCATAAATTAAAAAGCTAGTAGTAAAACTCAACAAACGTCTCTGAAAATGAACCATGAAGAAAATGGAATTTTCTAGTTTTTTTCCACCAAACAAATTATTTATTTCATACAGAGGCCATTTTTAAGTTCAGTGGCAATCAATGAAACATTGTTGAGCATTCGAATAATCCGTCAGAGGTATTGGTAGTAATAGTTACGCCACATAGTGAAGCTGTACTGTTTAGGCTAAAAGCCTTGATAGGATTTTTTCTCTTCTAAAAACAATCCCGAGGTCCGAAGGCGAAGTCGTACTGCTGACTGTACAGAGGTGTGAAAGCAGTAAGGTGTTTCCTTCAGACAACCAGCATGACAGCGATGCTGCCTTCCCACAAGGAGGGGTGGGGTTAGAAAAGGTCGACCCTAAAAATGCACACCTCGCCTTATCCCACGGATTTCCGTCTCCGGCGGTAAGGAATTTTGAAGAACGGAGCTAACACGTCAAAAATCCCCCACAAAAAGGCCGTGCGTGACCGGCCTCAAGCAGATGTCCCTTGGGCACTGCGGTCACGCTCTCAGGTCATTAAGACCACTTCTAACCCAATTTCCTTTTCAGGTACCCCCAGGAGAACCCTTCCACGGTGTGGGCAACCGGGAAGTGATACTAGCCCTCATACCCTTAACTGCACACAAGACCAAGTTGGTCGCTTTAAAATTCTTCCTACACCTAATAAATCTGTTATCTCCACGACTAACCCTTCCCACGTCCTTTTATCACCTCGCACCGCTAGGGCAAACGATTCGAGTACACAGAACGTTATCCCTGGTCTCCTGAAACCACGCTCTAAACTACATATAGGAACTTTTAATGTCCGAACATTGTGCCAAATAGAACAACAGGCTTCCTTAGCTAGGACTCTAGAATTTTACACCATCGATGTGTGCTGCGTCTCCGAAACGCGCATACAAGATCCGAGTAGTGTCATTCATTTGACCGCACCTAATCAAAATAAAGTTTCATCTCGATACACGCTTCGTGTATCTGGAAGTCCTGATGCTGCTTCCCATGGCCTCGCTGGAGTAGGTATAGCATTAAGTCCTAGGGCAGAACTAGCTCTTTTAGACTGGATCCCAGTAGACAGTCGTCTATGCGCTGTCCGACTAAACGGATCACTAAGGACCCGGAAAGATAGGGAAACTCGTCGTTGCCTCTTCGTCGTCTCTGCCTACTCTCCCACTGACTGCAGCTCAGACGATATAAAAGATGAGTTCTACAGGAAACTTTCTGACCTTCTCCGAGAAGCTAGGCGTTCTGATATAGTAATAGTAGCAGGTGACTTTAATGCTCAAGTAGGTAAACTAAGTGAAAGGGAAAGACACCTGGGTGGATCTTATGGTGTCATGGCGAAAAGAACAGATAATGGCGACCGTCTGTTGCAGCTGTGCTCAGATAACCGCCTATTTCTTGCAAATACTAACTTTAAGCATAAGGAAAAACATCTTTTGACATGGCGACCCCCGAATTCGTCCCAACGTTGGACCCAACTAGATCACATCGCTATCAGCCACCGATGGAGGGGCTCGACAGAAGACTGTCGCTCATTCTGGGGCACATGCTTAGATTCAGATCATGCTCTAGTGCGAGCACGTATCTGTCTGCGTCTTACTGGTCGTAGGAAAGACACTGCAGGGAAGCCTCTAAGGGTTCTACTTAATGACAGGCAAGCTAAGAATATATTTCAGGAACAACTAGAAAAACAGTTAGGCAGCCATGTAAGTTGTGTCCACCCCGAGGCAGCGTGGAATGACATCCGAAAAGCTGTGGAAACAGCAGTGATATCCGCTAATAAGGTAAACCATAATGTTAGGGAGAAACAATGGATCTCGGCAGCATCTACCGCACTGATAGATGCTCGTAAACTCATCCCACCTGGCTCTGAGCATAACGAAGAGCGGAGTCAACTTAAGCGCAGGTTTATAAGAAGCCTACGTAATGATCGTGAACAGTGGTGGGTAGCGAAAGCAAGAGAGATGGGAAAGGCAGCGGCAATAGGTAACAGTAGGAAGCTATTCAGACTCGTTAAAGAAACCGGTATTAGGAACCCGAATATCAGTGAAACCATCTCAGATAAAGATGGGCATATTATTCATTCTCAATCCAGGAGGTTGGATCGATGGGCAGAACACTTTAGGGATCAGTTCAACTGGCCTTCAGCCACACTTCAATTACCCACGATCCCCAGTCGTCCTGAATGGTAAATTGATGTAAGTCCTCCAACCCTCTGTGAGGTTGAAAAAGCTATAGGAAATCTAAAGCGAGGGAGAGCAGCAGGGCATGAAAGGTTGACCCCTGAGATTTTTAAGGATGGTGGTCCAGTACTAGCAGTGAGATTGACTGAGGTCTTAGGTAAAATCTGGGAACTGGACGTAATTCCGTCTGACTGGTCCCAATCACTGATTGTGCCAGTCTATAAGAAAGGACAAAAGTCCTCCTGTGACAATCACAGAGGGATCAGTTTGACTAATATAGTGTCTAAAATATTAGCTTCAATAATACTAGGTCGACTAACCAAAGCGCGTGAAGAGCAGACTAGAGAAAACCAGGTTGGTTTTCGACCTGGACGTGGTTGCATAGACCAGATATTCACCCTACGTCAGGTTCTAGAACATAGACACAAATTCAGACGTCCCACAATAGTAATATTTCTTGACCTTAAGGCGGCATTTGACTCCGTTGATCGTGAGGTTCTATGGCAATGTTTGTCACTGAAAGGAGTACCAAAGAAGTACATTAACCTCATGAAGGCTCTCTACTCGAACACAACTGGTCGAGTTAGAGCCTATGGCGCACTGTCATCAGAACTGATTACCACAAGTGGCGTTCGTCAGGGCTGTCCACTCTCCCCATTCTTGTTTAACTTTGTCATTGACACACTATTAGAAATAGCACTTTCATCAGCTAAACCTCCAGGAGATGAACTTTTACCAGGAGGCTCACTTGTTGACTTAGAATACGCCGACGACATAGTTTTACTCGGTGAAGACGCTGACAACATGCAGAGTCTTCTGACCACTATAAGCAACAATGCAGGCATGTTCGGAATGCGATTCCCCCCTTCGAAATGCAAAATGTTACTTCAGGATTGGGTTGCATCGACACCTGAACTAATGATAGGAAGTGAAGTAGTTGAGCGTGTAGACCACTTCACTTATCTTGGGAGTCTCATCAGCCCTTGTGGTCTGGTGTGTGACGAAATCTCAGCACGGATACAGAAGGCTCGTCTAGCTTTCGCCAGCTTGCGTCATTTATGGCGTAGGCGAGATATCCGTCTAGCAACAAAAGGACGGGTTTACTGTGCAGCAGTTCGTTCCGTCCTACTTTATGGCAGTGAAACATGGCCGATAAGAGTAGAGGATATTCGTAGGCTACTAGTGTTCGATCATAGGTGTCTTCGAAGCATTGCTCGTATATCCTGGGACCACCGGGTAAGTAATGCAGTTGTTAGGAAACGAGTACTAGGTAGGGATGGCAAATCGATTGATGAAGTAGTGAAACTTCATCAGTTGAGATGGCTGGGACATGTGTTACGCATGCCCGACCACCGACTGCCCCGACGTGCAATGTTTCATGGTGTAGGAGTAGGTTGGAAGAAAGCTAGGGGTGGCCAGACCAAAATGTGGCACAAATCAATGAAGTCACTGACAAGTGGACTGAGCCATGTTGGTAGGTGTAGACTACCTGGTTGGGATTCGCGAGATGACAGCAACCGATGGTTAGAGACCTTGAATGACATGGCTCAAAATCGTTTGCAATGGCGAAGATGCATCCACTCTTTGTGTTCTACCAAATTCTAATCTTCTGAATTCCTCATGTCTTTATATTTTTCTCTTTCCAAATTTATTTCACTGTACTATACTCCTTCAATAATTTCTTCAAACCCTAATCTTTTGGATTTCTGATTATACTCCTACTACTTCTACCACTATGGGATTTGAATCGACAACTGCATCTCTGTGCTAATGTGGTATGGCAACTCGAACTGACTGACTGACTGACTTCTAAAAACATGATAAATTTCCCTATTGTGGGATGTATTTATAATTGTGAAACCCAACCTTATCTATTGCCCTAACACGATAATCGGGCTTGGTTATCATGACGGCACAATCAGCCTGTATTGACTGAATATCATATTCATTGAGATCCTACCGTGTTAAGTACGTCAGTTGAAGATTAGTAAAACTGAGATGATAAAGTTCAGGGGTTACAGTCATGTTGTTGACTGTAGTGAGATATGCCAATAAAGTAAGGTTTTCCCCATAGATAAATAGCACCTCCAATTATGCTACCTTCCTACAATGGGAGTTAGAAGAGTCTCTTTTTAAATGCAGTCCAACTTGCCTCGCCTCACATATTTCAAGTGTCTTATCGGTTAAGACATCTGAATGAGTTCTAGGTAAGAACTCCGCACTTCAAATTAGAGTGACTAATACCCAAATACTTATTGAATGGGTTAATTAATTTACTCCACAAATTTTAGGACCTGAAAGTAAGGTATACAGAGTAGTTTGTACAACAAAAACACCGTGTATAACCAGTTTTAAGCAGCAGTCTCTTGAGCCTTGGGTTGACGCTCAATTCTTCAAACCTACCAAAAAGAAATTTCTCCATAGTGTAAGTAAATCAGAAGTGTCAGTCTTTTTCACAACTCCAACAGCACTTAAGATAATAATGTCCGCAAGAAAAATCCTATCCCTGCCTCAAAGTATTTTTCTATTCCTATTACCAGCCTTTCTCTGATTTCATTTTCACTTTCACGTGTAACCAATGCTATTGATGCAGTCTTACGAAATGTTATTCCATATCTCATGAAACCCTGTTTCAAACTGTATCGAAGCTTTGATTGTTTGGACATGAATCAAGCAACAAGCTTTAATGACCAATACCTTAGGCCGGCATACAGAATCGAACTGTGATTTTTCACGTGACATCATCATGATATTGTACAAAATAGGTGCAAACCACCCCTCAACTATATATGTCCTTCTATTCGAGAGAACAGGCACTCTTGAACTAGATTAATGAAAAAGTCGTTTGTCTGCTGTGCGATTAAACTGTAGTGCCGTGCTTCGAGCATGTCGTGTTGCATAGGCTTCGCTGAGTGTGCTTGTCGAAAGTATGAGATGCCGAAGTTTCTTTATCGACGTCAGTCAGTCACAACGTAGAACTTCGTACATACGTAGATCAGTTCGAGTTGCAATATCATATTAACACAGAGATGCAGTTAACGATTCAAATCCCGTAGTAGTAGAAGTAGTAAGAGTATAAACAGTAATCCGAAAGATTAGAGTTTGAAGATGTTATTGAAGGTGTATAATCCAGTGAAATAAATTAAAAAGAAAAAAAGATAGGGATATGAAGAATTCAGAAGATTAGAATTTGGCAGAAAACAAAGAGTGGATACAACTTCGCCATTGCAAACGATTTCGAGTCTTGTCATTCAACGTTTCTAACCATCGGTTGCTATCATCTCGCGAATCCCAACCAGGTAGTCTACACCTACCAACATGGCTCAATCCACTTGTCAGTGACTTCATTGATTTGTGCTGCCCCTAGCTTTCATCCAAACTACTCCTACACCATAAAACATTGCACGTCGAAGCAGTCGGTGGTTGGGCATACGTAACACGTGTCCCAGCCATCTCAACTGATGAAGTTTCACTACTTCATCAATCGATTTGCCATCCCTACCTAGTACTCGTTTCCTAACAACTGCATTACTTACCCGGTGGTCCCAGGATATACGAGCAATGCTTCGAAGACACCTATGATCGAACACTAGTAGCCTACGAATATCCTCTACTCTTATCGGCCATGTTTCACTGCCATAAAGTAGGACGGAACGAACTGCTGCACAGTAAACCCGTCCTTTTGTTGCTAGACGGATATCTCGCCTACGCCATAAATGACGCAAGCTGGCGAAAGCTAGACGAGCCTTCTGTATCCGTGCTGAGATTTCGTCACACACCAGACCACAAGGGCTGATGAGACTCCCAAGATAAGTGAAGTGGTCTACACGCTCAACTACTTCACTTCCTATCATTAGTTCAGGTGTCGATGCAACCCAATCCTGAAGTAACATTTTGCATTTCGAAGGGGGGAATCGCATCCCGAACATGCCTGCATTGTTGCTTATAGTGGTCAGAAGACTCTCCATTTTGTCAGCGTCTTCACCAAATAAAACTATGTCGTCGGCGTATTCTAAGTCAACAAGTGAGCCTCCCGGTAAAAGTTCAACTCTTGGAGATTTAGATTATGAAAGTGTTATCTCTAAAAGCATGTCAATGACAAAGTTAAACAAGAATGGGGAGAGTGGACAGCCCTGACGAACACCATTTGAGGTAATAAATTCTGATGACGGTTCGCCATAGGCTTTGACTTCATCGACGTAGGCTGCTGTATTAGATTTGTCGTCGTTGAAGTCACCATTTTAGTGGGCGAATGGTGAGTGTTCAAAATTAGGCTCACCATTTTTATGAGGATTTAGGATCTGACTCTAATTTAATCGTATGAATAGTTGATTGTCAAAATATACATCCTTGGGTATCCTCGTATGCAATATATGACTTGATCCGCGTTGGTGAATAACGGAGCTAAATAGGTCAAATACGATGATAGATTTGGAATACATATATTTTGTACATTCAACCATTCATACGAACAAATTGGAGTCAGATCCTAAATCCCCATAAAAATGATGAGCCTCATTTTGAACACTCACCATTCGCCCACTAAAATGGTGACTTCGACGATGACAAACCTAATGCAGCAGCCTACGTCGATGAAGAAAACTCGGCATCTCATACTTTCGACAAGCACACTCAGCGAAGTCTATGCAGCACGACATAGACATGCTCGAAGCACGGCACTTTAGAATTGGTGAGCCCGACGTGATACGAACACGCAGCCTTCTGATTTTATGCACCGTTAAGATTTGTATTGCAACGGTGATCGAGGTGAACGATTGGCGAAGCAAGGTACTACAAAGCAGTAAAATAAAAATCCAGAAAGAAAGGAACACATGCCACTGCCTCTTCGTAGTCTGTCTACGCTTCTACCAAATTCAACGTCGATGAGGCAGATGACTCCAGTCGAAAAGATTTCTAACCCTCTTCAGAAAGCTAAATGTCTAGGTATATTATTCATAGCGCTGGTGGTCCAAGTGCACTAGACAGGTGACGAAAATTGTATGTTGAAACTAAGCTTAGATATCTCCTTATTCCGAGTTGGCGCTAACCTTAAACACAAAAATAAGCATTGTTTAACCCGACGATGATCGACACTTATTGAGATTGACAATCTTGCTACCCATTATTGGAAAGAGAGTCTACCAGGAGCCTTGTCAGGTAAGGATGGTTTTCTACATAAGAGTGCAGATGTTTGGACACTAACCACGCTATCATGAGAGCAAACGTTTATCTGAATTTTCATTAACTCGAGAAAACCGCAATAGGAAGGCTTCTGACTCATTTTGATGAAATTACCTCTGGTATGCCTAAGATAGAACTACCTGAGCACTTAATAGACCATGGAAGGAATGTTCATCCTGAGACCATTATACAAGGAGACTGAGGTGTAATACAATGAACAAAGCCGGAAAAAGAGATATTTAAAAAAATCCCCAATACAAAGCGGTAACTATGTCATCCGTATCCTAATAATATTGGTTTGCTTTCCGCTCTCCAAGTATCCATTTATAATTTGCAAAATACTTTATCATTACTGACAATCTATTTCTATATTGCTGAGATATGAGAAAAATTAAGGTGATGAAGTCACGCGACGTTCTATACTATTTGTATTTTTCTCGAATATAGGAACGTAATTCTGATTGGGAGCACCCTTAGGTTGAGCAAATATATTAGATTTCATAAGAATACTTCACGGCGTCTGTTTCATCAAGAGAACAGCTATAACATTAATATTCTGACGAATAAGACCTACAGTAGTTTAAAAATATCCTTCTTGAAATCAAAGTAAGAGACATGAAACCTTAATCTTTTATGGGTTGATCCAGTTGTAGCATACAAAAAAGAATAATTCACAATAATGAACGCTTACCAGATGTCTCATCCCGTTCAAATAGTGGTAAACCAATGGGTAACATAGAATAAACTTGCATGCAGCTATGACAGAAGTACCCAAATGCATGTTCTTTACATAGTCAAGTATAGAGTCATAATGCCCAGTGAAAAAGAAAGCACCGATCCCTACAGATGACCACACTGAAAAAAAATTATGTGATAGAAACAAAAAGACCTAATCAAAAACAAAACAACAACAAGATGACCAAGTGCAAACAAAACAGTTAGGGAAAATGTTTAACCAGCTACTTATTAACCTCAAAATTTAGTTTATCTTATCTCCAAGATGCTTACGAGCGCTAATAAGTAGTGTATGCGTAACCGTCATCTCTACTTTTAACAATAGGAAAGATGTGGAATGAGCTTATCTCTCCCATCTGACTAGAAATTTAAAATGAAATCCAACTAATTAACCCCTACTACCACCAAAAACTGAAAACCAAAAGGAAATTATACCTTTAACATCAGATCGTCCAATGAACAGAACAAACTCTTATTGGATAGGCATCAAGGTTCTGTGGTCACAAATTTTAACAGAAAATCAGTATCTTCAATTAACGAGAATGGTTTAGTTTAAACGATATTTTGCATTTTCTTCTGTACATCACACAAAATCTTTTGAATTAAAAATCGCGAATTTGGTATATCCAAAACTCATCACTAACGGCAGTCAATAGTAATCATTGTTGCAAAAAGATCATGCTCTAATTCCTATTTTTGTTTTCTTACTGTTAACATGCTAGTTTATAAAACAGACTTACCGATAGCCATAGCAATACCAGTGGCTCGATGGAGAAAAGAGAATCTCATTACTAAAGGTGGCGAGTAAGCCTGAAGATGGGGAGACCACGGCCGCTTTTCAGTAGCATTTCTGTCCCAAAATGACTGCATTTCCTTTTCAGCTTGCCTACGGACTTTCTCGCTCGTACTACCTTTAGCCGCTTTAGATGTACGTACGATTGACGATGGTCGTAAAAGTCCTACTGAAACTTTAGACACTGGCCCAAAAAATTCACTAAAACTGGTAAGGTTTCGCAAGCAACACAACCTAGGTGAAAAACTGATGAGAAAGTAAATATTCAAAAGCAAAAAACCTCATTATCGAAATTAACGTTACGCTACTCCCTACAATTTCCTTCTGGGAGGTTATATACGACCTTGAGAGACAACGTTTCAATATCAGATTAAATTTCAGATTTTCAAACTTATGTTTCAAGGACAGAAGACTAATAGTATACATTGTTTTCTTATAACGTTTCTGTGAGTTTCTTCTCATGCATCTTAATCAAATGGATGGACTCTAATATGTATCCTATTACTTACTTACTTACTTACTTACCTTCACCTGTTACTCCCAATGGAGCATAGGCCGCCGACCAGCATTCTCCGAACCACTCTGTCCTGGGCCTTTTTTTATAGTTCTATCCAGTTCTTGTTCATTCTTCTCATGTCTGTCTCTATTTCTCGGCCTAATGTGTTCTTTGGTCTTCCTCTTCTCCTTTGACCTTCAGGATTCCATGTGAGGGCTTGTCTTGTGACGCAATTAGGTGATTTCCTCAAGGTGTGCCCAATCCACTTCCAGCGCTTCTTCCTGATTTCTTCCTCCGCTGGAATCTGGTTTGCTGTCTCCCACAGTAACTTGTTGCTGATAGTGTCTGGCCATCTGATCCGAAGTATCTTGCGTAGACAACTGTTAATAAACACTTGTATCTTCTGGATAATGGCTTTCGTAGTTCTCCACGTCTCCGCCCCATACAGTAGAACTGTCTTGACATTTGTATTGAAAATTCTAACCTTGGTGTTGGTTGACAATTGTTTTGAGCTCCAGGTGTTTTTCAGTTGTAGGTATGCTGCTCTTGCTTTGCCGATCCGCGCCCTCACATCTGCATCTTATCCACCGTGTTCATCAATGATGCTGCCCAGATATGTAAAGGTTTCCACACCTTCCAAAGCTTCTCCATCAAATGTAATTTGATTGGTGCATATTGTATTGGTATATAATTCCCATTTAAACATTAAAATTAAAACACAGATTTCAGCGAAGGGATCTCTTTTCAACGAATTTATTATCAAGCTGTACAATCGTATATATATATATATGAAAATGTTTTGTTAAAGTACTAATTCCGTGAGGAAATGTGAACACTAATAACCAAGATTATAATACTGGATTACGTAATATGAATAACAACAATTGATTTAGTGAATATAGTAAGACGGATAAAATGTTTTGGTTACAATAATTAAAGGTCATTAAAGGTCATAGAGGTGTAAAATAAATAAATAAATAAATAAGGTGATGAGTATTCATGAATAAAATAATGAGAATATAAAACATAAGTAAAGGGGGAATGGAGTAATAGTAATAATTTATTGATCGTATTAAGGATGTTAATACTTCCGGAAAACACATGTTCTCACTTGATGTTAATTCTTTATTCACTAGTGTACCATTAACGGAAACGATTTGTTATATTTGTGAGTATATTGACTCTAACAACATAGTTCTAGGTATTCCAACTGAATACTTAAAAGAATTATTGTTACGTTGTACCTTTAATGTCCAGTTCAGTTTCAACAATAAAATATATAGACAAAGAGATGGGATCGCAATGGGATCTCCTTTAGGTCCAATTCTAACAGACTGCTTCATGGCAAAACTAGAAAACGATCAACTCAGTTCAATGATAAATCGATTCCAACTATACGTAAGATACATGGACAACACATTTGTCGTTTGTGACGATAATATTGATTTGGACAATATCTTGCACTTCTTCAACTCATGCCACCCTTCCATAGACTTTACATTAGAAAGAGAGAGAGACCAATCAATCCCTTTTCTTGATGTACATCTATTGAGAAGAAGCAATGGTTCTTTAAAAAGATCTATCTTTAGAAAGCAAACATGGAACGGTCAACTAACCAACTTTTATAGCTGGGTTCCATTAATTAGAAAGAGAAACTTGATTCATTCTTTATGCTATCGTATACATCGGATATGTAGTACAGAATGCATCAACGAAGAACTAGGGTTCCTCAAGAAAAACTTTGTTGAAAAATGGCTACCCAGACCGGTTCATAGAGAAGAATATGAACAGAAGTAGCGTCGATAGGAATCCTAGTTATTCAGTCCCAAAGAAAAGCCTTTATATAAGTCTGGAATTTAAAGGTGATCGAACATCAGACATAATTCAAAATCGTTTAACAACAACGATTAAAAGGACATTTAACGCTGCAAAACTACGAATAACCTTCACCAGTAAGAACTTAATTTCTGTATCCATAAAAGATAAGCTTCCGCGTTTGGTCGCCTCCATGTGCATCTACCAGTTCACCTGCTCTTGTGGAGCAAGGTACATCGGCCGTAGCCAGCGCTCGCTTTCAACCCGGATACGAGAACATATACCAGCTTGGTTCTACAATGGTGGAAAGAAAGCAGTTAGAAGTTCTATACTCGAACACCTAATCGACTGTAATCATTCGACGAATCCACAGTCTGATTTTAAGGTTGTTTATATGATTCGTTCAAATCTACCAAGATTTCTTCGGATCAAACTCTTAAAAATAGCCGAAGCTCTTACCATCCATGAGCTCAAACCAGAACTATGCGTACAAAAGAAGTACATTATCGTTACCATGGCCTTAATATTATTATTGTTATTATCATTCTTTTATTATTACTATTACTCCATTCCCCCTTTACTTATGTTTTATATTCTCATTATTTTATTCATGAATACTCATCACCTTATTTATTTATTTATTTATTTTACACCTCTATGACCTTTAATGACCTTTAATTATTGTAACCAAAACATTTTATCCGTCTTACTATATTCACTAAATCAATTGTTGTTATTCATATTACGTAATCCAGTATTATAATCTTGGTTATTAGTGTTCACATTTCCTCACGGAATTAGTACTTTAACAAAACATTTTCATATATATATATATATATATATATATATATATATATATATATACGATTGTACAGCTTGATAATAAATTCGTTGAAAAGAGATCCATTCGCATATTGTATTGTATCGAAGAGTCTTGCTTTTCTCTTTGTTTATATTGAGACCTACTGTTGCTGAGGCCGATGCTACACTGGTCGTTTTCTCCTGCATTTGTTGTTGCGTTTGTGATAGAAGAGCCAGATCGTCCGCGAAGTCTAAATCGTCAAGCTGCATCCTGCCTCTCCACTGTATTCCGTGCTTTCCTCCAGATGTTGACATCTTCATGATCCAGTCGACCACCAGGAGAAAGATAAAGGGTGAGAGTAAGCAACCTTGCCTAACACCGGTCTTTACTTCAAACGAGTCGGTGGACAATTTGGCAGTTTAGTCCATCATAGGAGTTCCGTATGATATTGACTATTTCTCAGGCACGCCGTAGTATCGAAGAAGCTTCCATAGTGTCGTCCTGTCCATGCTATCAAATGCCTTCTCGTAGTCGATGAAGTTGATGTAGAGTGATGAATTCCATTCGATTCATTGTTCCACAATGATACGTAGAGTTGCGATTTGATCTGTGCAATGCATCCTATGGTCAGGCTATATTTCCCAAAGTCACCTAAGATCCGAATTGGTTGCACCTGACACAAGTTCATGCTCTATTATTCATTAGTATAGCTAGCAATCGATCAACCTAAGGGGATATTGCATTCAGGTCTGCTACAGGTTGGTGTGGTCCATCGTTCATGAGGGTGACAGCCTAGCCCAGGACTCGATAGTTCGAGTGCATGTGGGGGCAATGCTTTTTTTCACGAAACCCACATTCGTACGATCTTCGCCGTCTTGAAGTTACTGAGACACGAGAAAAGCAAATAGTCGGTGGTTATCCACCTGAAGCATGAACAACACAGCTCATGTTAATAATAATCACATCGAACCAAATGGCAACAAAGTTTTTTGGCGATTTCGAGATAGTATTATGAATAGCTGTCCATAGTTTTGATTTGGCATTAGCTATTGGAGGAAAACGTAGGTAAGGTGAGGCTACAAATTATCAAAGACCTTTGAACGACGTTAAAGTGACCTTCAAAATGTCCACCTACTAACTAGGAAAAAGTGGTGACTATAAACCAGTGTAGGGAATTACAATTCTGATGTACAGTTAATTTTTAGGCTTAATAACCAGACTAGATATTTCCGTCCATCTATCCATTTGACATCACCAAGTATTCTATGCTCAACAATCTGTTTCTGAAACCACGCCGTTCATTTTTTTACCAAATAACGTGTTTTCTGGAAGGTCATAAGGACTTTTTTCCATCTTTCCAGAGTCATAACCTCAGCATTAATGGAGCCAATAAATTTGTGGCTTCGTAGATGTAATATTCACCCCATTTTGTGAATCCGAAAGTCAATTTTTTCCACCTCAGGTGAGCTCACTTTGGCAGTCATGGTTCACAAAGTAGTTTTATATATTGCAAGTACTCCTAGGAGTCTAAAGGCAATTGTTAAATGTTGAAAGTAGTTATTAACTTCGAGACGTCGCCTGGTGAAATTCCACTGTGAATAACCGATCAAATGACGTTATTACCGAAGCCAATTAGGAGTCAAGAGGATGCATAAGAAAGAATTGTTCCTGGAACAGAGTTTGATGACTTTCACTCAATCCCGGTCGTTCTCTAGCATCTCAATTACACTTTTCTCAATGTTTATACTACGAATTCAGAAATACGTTCTTGATATGTGATATAAGAAAATTTTCGCTTTGGTCGTGCCATTGTAGTTTGCGTCACTTTGTTTTCATTGTTCCTCTGGTGGATACAGATTGTGGTATTATGTTATCCCTTAATCGACTTGTATGGTCGAAACGTATCCACTGTGCCTAGATGGATGGTGATTTTCCAATGTCTTATAACTTGTGCCTGGATGCCCTCTCAATGTATAACGTGATAATATCGCCAACTATAAGGAAAGTGAATTATCGATCGGACCAATAATACACGAAACCCGTCTACTAAATCCAGAACACCAATAATAGCCTTTCCAATATGAATAATTTATTTCAAACATACTAGATTCATATACCAACCAGATAGACCACATCGTACCACAAAATATGAAACAACATTTGTACAAAATTTGGTCAAATGTGGCTGCGAATGTGTGAGACAGTAATCGATGGACTGGAGATAACTCAAGAATGGTAAACCGTATAATAATAGTCCATAAGTCAAAAAAACTTATAATAGGAGGGACATGAAAAGTAATAGTTTAGTTATTTAACAATTATGCAGTAAAAATACATGTATCATGTTGGTCCATAAATAGTTCTCAAAAGTTACCATTCATAATTCTCTTCGAGATATAACACAATGCTCACCCATTTTTATCAGCAAGCTTCGAATC